AAAAGTTAACAAAATTTAGTACTTGAACTTTAAAAACTATTAAGTAATACCAAAAAATAGTAAAAGTACACATATAAGAAGGTATAAGGTGAAGAGTAGGTTTATTTTTATGTAAAACCATTCTTGGTCTTGTGAATGAATAGTTTTCAATAGAGAGTGTGTTAGTTTGCTTTCTGTTACTGTAACAAATTTCTGAAACAATCAGCTTACAAAGAGAACGATAATACTACTTTGGCTTACAATTTTTAGGCTTTAGCCTGTGACATACTGGCTCGGTTGTTTTGGACTAAAAGCAGATCATCACAGTGGGAGCATATACAGAGTAATCAGTTCACCTAAAGGTTTGGCCACAAAAGAAGGAGGAAAAAGAGCAGGGTCTGGAGTCCATATATCCCCTTCAAGGACAAGCTTCCAATTGTAGGAAGACCCCTAGCTGGCCCTGCACACACTCCCCCCATCCAATAGTACCAAGCTGGTTAAGCTTATCATGTGAGCCTTTGGGAGAAATCCCATATATGAACTGTCACAGGGAATATGAGCAACTGACAGTTATTTAAATATTTTTGGACTACTCAAAGAAAAATGACTTCCTTCACTATTAATATTTGAACTTTGAACATGGTTCTTTTCCTTGGAAAAGAAAATTTTTTCCATAGAGAGTTTTTGCTTATTTGTTTTGTCTTTTGTTTTAATGTCTGTTTTTGGACAGTTCAGCATACAGCGAGTAGAATTAAGGCTGTATAATTATGTTCATCTTCTGGGATATAATCGAGCTCATTTACTTACCTTTATAGTCTTCTGATAACCATTTTGCTTTCTGTGTTCCCTTGATATATTAAGCTAGCTAAGTCACTTTTGAGTCATGTCCTCAGAAATAGAAAGGAAAACTGTTTTTGTGAGAACCATAAACTTGGGAATTAACTATGGTTTCCTTGATTTATACAGGGAAGACTTTAATAATGTCATACAAAACCAAGTATTTTAATACTTTGTAAACTTTACTTCTCTGTGCTTAACTTTTTTCTTCATTTATAGAATTCAAACTTTTCACTTGTTCCTTAGGAATAATCACACTATTTAAATTTAAAGTATTAATTGTCACAATGACTCTACTGTTTTTCAAGGATAATACTTTACTTTCAATTAAATAGATCTGGGGAGTAGAGAAATTGAGAAGCTCCTATGTCACCAGCATCTCAGGCTATAGAGAGAGTGTGTAGATTCTTTTGTTATTTGAGCTCTTGAAAATCAAGGAATAGGTAGAGTGGATCATCAGAGTAGCTTACTAAAGTATATCCATAAATCCCTTCAGTGAAAGACAAACCAAGCATTCTATGAATCTTCCTACTCAAGATCCCAATTCTATCTCTGGGGGATCAATTCATTTTTTTCTTATGTTAATTATCACATTATCATAATATGATCCATATGCATATCTCCATATTATTTGTGAATTTTTAATGATTTATGAAATATAACCTGTATATTTAAGAAATTTAATAATTATGCAATTTTAGTTCATCATTAATATTCAAAAACATGTAGAATGGATACTATGTCTCTTCTCATTGGGCAATATGTGACATATATAATCCAGATACAGTCTGAAATATTAGTAGAAAAATATTTTTAAAATTATTTCTCAGTTCATGAAAGGCTCAGTGGAGATTTTCTGGTTTTAATATCCATATTTTTTAAATTATAAAATACAACTATAAAAGTTAAATGGTTTATTTCACACAGTCAAGTTACATTATTTACAGAAGGTTGGCTAATGTACTTTGGGCTTATTGCAGCTTTTTTGGTATGATTGTTTCATGTAGTCAATTTTTATCAAATATTAGAATGACAGTCACAATGTTGTCTGATTCATACTACTGGAGAAAACATGATTGAACCTTATAAAAAGGCTAAAATTTTGAAGTATCTTCCACACCTGTAATTTTTAGAGCTTAGAACCTGTAGTTATAAAATAGATGAAGCCTTTGTTAAAACATGGATATTCTAGCACTAAATTTGTCCCTACTTGGTTCATAATTTTTATTTTTGAAGTTTTATAATGTATATCTTAGATTATTGTAGACAATTTTGAAATGCATCTAATGAATAAAGTTTTTTAGAATGATATGTTCCTATAAAAGTTTATGATTTTCTTTACCATATTATCTCATATCTTTTGGTGGCCTCTTTAGCTGTATGATCTTTGACTTAATAAGAATAGAAAATGAATGCATGCTAAGAATTTTTACTAATGGGAATGGAGAGATGGCTCAGTGTTTAAGAGCACTGACTGCTCTCACAGAGGACCCAGGTTCAAATTTCAGCACCCACTTTGGCAGCTAGCAACCATCCATGACTCCAGTTCCAGGGGATCTGATACTCTCTCCTGAACTTCAAGGACATTGCTGATACAGGTACACTTACATACATACAGGCAATACACTCACATACATAAAATAAAAATAATAAATAAAAATTTTAAAAATAATTTTTGCTTATATGAAGTACTACAAGATGGCACCCAGAACAAAGCTTGCTAAATTGTTGTTGTTGTAGGGCAAGCAAATATTTTGAAAAAATGCATTTCTTACATTTATTAGAAGAGATCTTATTTTTCAGAAGCAACACAAACTTACTGTATGTTTTATTAAGTTGTTGATTATCTCAAAACTTGATCTTATAAACTTTTGAACTACCACTAAATTTGTTAGGGCACACAAAGATAGAAGTAAAATAGTGGTAATATTCTAAGATAAATAATTTTTATATAAATTAAAATTTCTAATGCTTAGTAACATCTAGAGTATATTCAGTATAAACAATAAATATTTTCTCTAGTTCATTGTGTAATCTAGTCTTTTAAATGTAATATGTCAAGTTTGGTGGAGTGGCACATGGCTGTAATCTCAGCACTTGGGAGGTGAAGGCAGGAGGATTAGGAGTTCAAGGTCATCCTTGGCTACATAAAAATTTTGAGGCCAGTCTAGGCTGTATGAGATCTTATCTCAAAAAATGGAAAAATAAAACAAAACATAAAGTTACAGAATAATTTTCAGGAGAGGTCTATGGTACTTGCTAGTAAAATGAAGTAAACTAGGGAACAACAACAACAACAAAAAACCAACACATTCAGTTGTTTGCCACAATGTATGTAGTATTCTATATAATTAAACACAATTTAAACATTAAACAGTTTTTGGCTTGAGGATTTTACATTTCTTTAAGACCATGAAAAACAGTAGTTGCAGTACCGTTCTTCACAACACACCTGATCCATCTCTAGCCATGAGCTTGAAGAGCTATGGATTTTATTCCTTTTACCTCGGCAAGGCTGTAGGAAAGCAAAATATAATTTTAACAGCTTTCACTCTTCTCAAAATATTGAAATTCACTTAGTTTTGTCTTTATTATTTTCTGTGTATTTCTTGCTTATTGTAGAATTTAGTGAGAAGGAAAGAAATAAATTTTCTTTCCACTTGATAAAAAAAGAAACAAAGCTGGATGTGGTAGCACATGCCTTTAGACCCAGTGCTCAGGAGGCAGAGGCTGGTGAATCTCTGTGAGATTGAAGCTAGCCTGGTCTACATAGCAAGTTTCAGGCCAGCTGGGGCTACAGGGAGACCCTGTCTCAAAATTACAAAAAAAGACAAAAAAGGGAAACTTAGAGTAAATCAGATACTAGTGGAACTATGACAGTGCTCAAAAATCATTCATCTTTTTCATCTACAAAGGTAATCTTATTGAATTATTTATGAACTTTGCTGCCAGGCCCAAGGAATGGTTTCTTCTTGAGGAGAGAGAACCAGACTGAGGCTTCAAAGGTCAAAGTTCATTGTGCCATCACAAACACACTCTGCTAACAACCTAATTACAGTTTGAATCTCACTTAATACTATCCTATATGGCAGATACTGTGTTTGTACTATATAATTTATTTTCAAAAATCAAACCTTATGGAGGAGGAAATTGTTCGTGATCAATTAAAATAACTTGCTCCAGGACTCTTGAACTTGGAGTCAGGGGGGCTGGCTCCTGGCATCCTACTCTCACAACTGTGCTCTTGACCGATTGATTTAGGGAACCTTCTACTTCTTAGCAGTCTGTAGTTGCCTTTTTCATAATCACTCCTTTTGACATTTGCTTACCTTAATTTAAAATCTCTTATATATATGGACACACACATTTTTAATAGAAAGGGGAACTAAAGTAATTACAATGGATTATTTTCAAAATTATTTACCTATTTTAGTAACTGCAGAAGAGATTTTAAGAAAATATACTGATTAAACCAATGTAATATACTGTGATGGTTATGGTATTGACTTGTGAACTAAACAATACAATTGTCTTGAAAAAATTAATGCATCTCTTTATTAATGATTAAGTTGGGATTTTAAAATTATTTTTATTTTATATGCGTGAGTGTATTGCCTGCCTGTATGTAAGTGCACTTTTGTCATGCAATGCCCACAGAGATGAGATGAGGGTGTCAGATTCCCTGGAACTGGAGTTAATGATTTTATCCACCATATGGGTGCTGGGATATGAAACATGGTCCTCTGCAAGAGCAGCTAGTGCTCTTAACCCTGAGCTATATCTCTCCAGCCTTTAAATTAGAATATTTTTATTTCTATTCTTCATGGGAAAGTTGAGGGAAGTATTATTTCAGCTAAGTGTAAGTCACATACACCATCAAGTAGAAGAATGAAGGTTTTTAGCAGCTTCTTTACAAGAGTTTAATCCTTGGTGCCAAACAAAAATATTTTGTTTTAAAATTAATTTATTCTTTTATAAAAATGTCTAGCATTTTGGAAAGATGGCTAAATGAAATGCAATTTTGGCGTTTAGAGCCCTGCCTACATTTAAACCTTCCAGAGAAATACCTGTCCTGACGAAGAAGGGTTTTGTATAAAGAGTATACATCTTATGTGTTTTGAATTGTGGTTTCTCATATTATCATATATATGATTTTCTTAATGTTACCATAATTACTTTTTCAGTGTATTTTGGGATCTCTACTGTGCAGCTCCAGAGAGACGGGAAACGTGTGAACACTCAAGTGAAGCAAAAGCCTTCCATGATTATGTAAGAAAACATGCACTTCTAAAACAGTTACATTGTCAATTTCAGTTTTAGTTATTGCTCTTGAAAAATATATTGGGCCATTTAACCTTTTGCTTTGATACTTAAGAAGTGGATATTCCTTTGACCTTGAAAAAAGACTCATAATTTAAAACGGTAATAAAAAGCGTATTTGAGGCTTGTTGAAACTTAGAATAGAGCAGACATAACTCAAACCTGCAAAAGGTATTATCATTAAGCACATGTGACTTGTAAATTTTCAAATTTATGCAATAATGTGACATAATTTTGTAATCACAGTCTGTTTGAATCAACTTTTTTTCAGATGAGGGAATTGCTGGAGATTGACCCAGGGCTGCTACATTCCTAGCCCCTGAAATTTCAGATTTATATAAGCAAAGTAGTAATTCTTCATTTTCCAAATAAATTTATCATGATTGCTATAAATGCTGAGCTCTTCTTTTGTATGTAAGACTAAAAAAATACCAAATAAAAAAATTCAGTCTATTTCAGTTCCTCTCTTTTTGCAACTTTTTGTTGTATAAGACTAAAAACCACATCCACTGAATGTAGTTCTTCAAGTAAATTTTATCTCTTTTAAAAAAATATCAGCAAGGAGATCTAAAGATTCCAGGCAAAATAAAATGTGATTTGTTTAAAAAATTATTAAAGTAAGGATATAAATTGTGCTTGCCTTAAGTATGTTTTAGAAGAAGTACAAATCTGATTTTAGAAAGCTGATTATATCAAGAAGTACAGTTTCTTCAGGGAAAGATTGCATGTCGGATGGTACTAAGAAGAGTCTGGGAAAACACTGGTTGTGAAGCTGACCAGAAAAGAAATATGGATTGAATTTGGGGTGAAGGAAAATATGTCTTCCTCTTCTGAAAGTAGAGTGGGGTTTGAAGCATGAGGAAATACCTGATGCCACATACCTAAAACTAACCAGAGGGATACATGTCTCTTTGGTAGTCGGGGGCATGATTCTATGCAAAAATCTCTGAAAACCAGAGCTGGGCCTCAAAAGAGAAAAATGTCTTTTCTTCTAAAGCAACTAATTCCATCTTAAAGTAAGAGATTGCTCAGAAGAATGTTAACTGTTAAAGTAGTACTAGGAAAGAGGATGCAGATTTGATAAGTGAAAATCTTCGGCCCTTGGCAAGGCCTGTGTACTATCTTATGATGTGTAACTCAATCTTCTGATGCTTACATAAATTTGATATATACTAAACAGTAGCTCTTGGGGACAAGGAAAGGGAAAGTACTGCTACCTACACAAAAGAAAAAGGGAGAAAACAGGCAGATCAAGCAGGACCCAGGACAAAATATTTATCTGAATAGATTTGTTTTGACTTTTTACTCTTGGGTAATGACAGAAGTTTTTTTTAAAAAAAAGTCCCAACCATGAAGAGCCCAAGGAATCTGGTTAGAGTTGGGTTCTCCATCTCACCTAGACCTTACAGCAAGAGAGACATATACTAGCAAAAAGTTGCTCATAAAATGCCTACTGATTTTTAAAACTGGATGGCACTAGAAAGGGCCAGTGATCTACTATTTTAAGATTTATTTCAATTTTTAATTAAGTCTATGATTGTGTGTGTGTGTGTATGTGTATGCATGCATGCATGTGAGTGCAAGTGCCTGTGCAGCCCAGAGGCATTAGTCCCCTTGGAGATGGAGTTACAATACAGGGAATTATGAGCTATCTGACATGGGTCCTGGGAACTAAACTTGGAATCTCTGCACGAGGAGTATGTACATGTAACTGCTGAGCCATCTCTCTGGCCCCTAGATCTCTACTATTAAAGAAGCTATAATATCTCACAATCTACAACTTAAACTAATTGGGTCAGGAGAGATTGCTCAGCAGTTTAGAGTGCTTGTTGCTCTTGCAGAGACCCTAGTTTGGTTCGCAACAACCACATAGGGTGGCTAACAACTGCCTCTAACTCCAGCTCCAGGGAATCCAGTGCAGCTGGCCATCATGGGCACTTGCACACATATGTCATATACTATATCACACACATACACATAAATAAAAAATAAAATAAATCTTTTAAAAAAGAAATTAATTATGTAAATACTTTACCAGAATCTTATTGTGTAGAAAAATTAACCATACTCTTCACCATGAGACCTTATGGGGAATATTGAATTCATTGGAGATGTTTTTTTAGAAATTACTAGTAGATAAAGCTGGTGCCTCACATTATTATAATTGCTTTCATCATCTTTGCACTCGTCCTGGACTTTCAGGGTGCTTATGCTTTTCATGTTTTTTAGAAATTTATTTTCTATAGTTAGATATAGTATCAATTGTGCCACTGGCCTGCCCCTTCATTTATTTTCTGCGGCCCACTTTTATGGAGATTTTCTTGAGGATTTCTTGAACTCTTAATAGTTGGCAATTTCTGAAATTGATCAACAAAGTTTATGTCTAATGTATGAAGAGAGGTTTAAAGGACTTGGGAAACAAAGTTGGGAAGATAGGGCAAGTGATAGGATTTTACTAACATTCTAAAATGTGATGTTTTTGAAGTAGAGTATATTATGCAGTCGTTTCTATAGTGATACTATATTCACCTGCTGATTTTTCTGGATGTTCTCAAGGAAGTATTCTGAGGAATATTTTTTCAATAGATCCATTCTATTAAATAAATCCAATTGCACTTGTAAATTGTGATATGCTTAAAATTAGTCTTATTTTATCATTAGTGTGTACCTATTTATATGATTGAGACAAAATGATTAATAGAAGCATAAAAGGTAAATAACCTTTTTTATTATTTATTTAATAACCATATAATTAGAAGAATCATTTCATTACAACAGCATTGACATATTCAATAACAATTTCCAGAGCTAAGATGCATCTCTTTCAAAATTGACTGCAAATTTTTAGGTTTACAGTTGAATTAATACAGTTATACAATATTGTACTCAGTATAAACCCTATAAGACATAAAATTAAATGAGGTTTTAAACTTAAAAAAAGATCTCCATTTCATTATTAAAATAGAGTTTCACACAGAAATATTCATTTTAATACAATTGACACTAAGATGCACATGTGTTTCTAATCTCTATATATCTGACTATTGCTAGTCATAGTAAATAAACTTTTTTAAAAATGAAATGTTAAAGTGACAATCTTTTGATATTTCAATCAGGCATACTTTTATAATTGTTTATATAGTTTATGTAATTTACAAATATATAGTAAATATTGATAGTGTATTCAGGAGAGTTCTTTAAAACATTATTTTTCAGCTTTTGGTAAATTCTGATTTCTCTCCTTATTGGATGACAAAAATATTAGCAAACTGAAGTATGAATTTGAAGGTATCAGTGTATTTTTCTGGCAACCATAATATACGCATAAGATTTTTAGCATTTCTCATGAAAGATATCTTTGTTTTTTGAATGGGTACTCACTGAAAGAAGTCTATAAACTGAACAAACATAATTTTGAACCACTCTATATTTTATTTTTTAAGTGTATTTTCATTTTAGTGTGAAAGTTTTGCCTGCCTGCATGTAAGTGCACCATGTGCATGCATTGCCTAGGGAGACCAAAAGAGGGCATCAGATCCCCTGGAACTGGAGTTACAGGTGGTTGTCAGCCACCATGGGGTGCTGTGAACTAAACCCAGGTCCTCTGCAAGAGCAGCCAGTGTTCTTAACCATTGAACCATATCTTAAGCCCCCTATATTTTATTTTAACCATTTTATTGTGTCATTATCGACATACAAAAAGCTATAGATATGTAACACATAGAACTTGATGTTTTGGAGATAAGTATGCCCATTTAAACCATCACAATCAATGACACAAAGTTACTTATTACCTCCAAAAATTTTAGTCCCTCCCCTTTCTTTCTACTGCAGTAAATAATATTTAATACAAGATATACCCAGCAGATTTTATGTATATAATACAGTATTGTTAATTATGCCTTATGTTGTACAGTAGTCCTCCAGACCTTCTATATGTTACATAGCTGAAACTTTCTACCCTTTGACCAACATGTTATTTCTCCTCCCTTCAATCCTTGGTAACCGCCATTCTGCATCCTGACAGGAATTTCTTGTATTCCTCAAATAACTGATATGTGTATTTGTTTTTCATAAGTGGCTTATTTCATTTAAATGCCTTCCACAGGAATTTCATCCTTTTTAAGGCAAGCTGTTTAGATTGTGTATAGGCATTACATTTTCTTCACCTATTCATCCATTAGTAGGCACTTAGGTTGATTCTGCATCTTGACCATTACGAATAGTGCCACAGTGAACCTGAAGGTGCAGATATTCTTGGAGACTCGTTTTCTTGGACATATACCTAGAAATAGATATGGCAGGATTTAATGGTGTATTTTACAAAAATTATTTCTTTGTGTATTTGAGATGTATATATTTGTATGTGTTCTCTGTGAGTACAGCATATGTATATGTGAATGTGTTAGCCATAAGTCAATGTCAAGTGTCTTCTTCAGACACTCTCCACCTTATTTTTATAGAAAGGGTCCCTCATTGAACCTGAAACTCAGTGACTCAGCTAGGCTGACTGGGAAGTGAGCTCCAAGGGTCTGTCTGTCTTCATCCCCCATGATAGGATTACAGATGTACAGCATGTTTGGCTTTTTACATTAGTTCTGGGAATCTGAACTCAGGTCTCATGCTTTCATGGCAAGCAATTACTGACTGAGCCATCTTCCTCCCCCTCAATTTAAGTTTTTAAAGGGACCTCTGTATTGTTTTCAGTAGTGATTGTACTAATTTACATTCCCATCTATGGAATACATGATATATGGAGTTCTTTTATCTCCAAATTTTTACCAAAGCTTGTCCTTCTTCATTTTTTCCTTAATTTTCTTTATTTATTTTTATGTATATGTGTTCACTCCTGCATCTATCTGTGAAGCATATGCCAAGTTACTGTGGAGGTCAGAAAAACTGCATCAGATCCCCTAGAACTGGAGATAAAGGCAGTTGTGAGCTACATG